GAGTTTCTGACGTAGATTAAATTGCATGTTCGAATCCACGCCGCCCTCACGCCCAAAGTGATGACGAAGAGTGAAAGGTTCATGGGTGTAAGGTACTGCAAAAGAGAAAGGCACTCAATCAGTTAGCACGAAAACAAAACGAAAGAGACCTTATTTAATTACAGAGGCTGAACTCCTTGAAAAAGAGGACACACACAGAGTTCAAAATCTACATCAAATAGTTTAACATAGAAGTCTGATCCTGCGTTTAACATCCAAACACACGGTTCAGACCCTGCGTCAAATATTATTAACGTAGAAATCAAACTTTGTGTTTAACATTCAAACGCACAGCTCAGACCCTACGTTAAATATTTTTTTTAACGCAGAGGTCAAACTTTGCGTTAGGTATCCAAACGCATGGTTCAGACCCTGCGTTACATACTCTTTTCAACACAGAGGCTAGATCTTGTGTTAAACACTCAAACGCAGAGTCTAAGCCCTGCGTTACAAAATTTGAGCGCAGAAGTCGGACCCCAACGCTTCAAATTCTAAACACAGATGCCCAACTCTGTGTTACAACCTCAAAACGAGTTTCCTCGTTGATCAGAGCTTGCTGAAGCAAGTTTTATGGCTACGAAAATCAACACTCGAAGCTGGCAGCGAACTCGGAGCAGCAGTGACGATGGATCTGGGACGAGAAACATTCTTCTTCTTGGGTGCCATTAAAAATGATGGTCGAAGAGGATGAACAGGATTCGTCGGAGTTTAAAACAAAGAATTTTCGTTAAACCTTTCGGAGAAGAACAGAAGCAAGAGTCGAATGACTCTTGATTTGACCCCAATGGTCTGTTTATAGATAGCTATGAGCTGTCAAATCAGGACGAGATTCTAGGCTAGAATCCAGCCAAACGCGATCTATGCATCGGCGTTGGTTGAACTTCTGAACGCAGAGTTTGTCTCTGTGTTTCAATTATCAAGCACAGAAGTCCACCTATGCATTTTAACACCGCAAAATGAACTTTTTGACAAATAGGGCTATGATATGGCTTCAAATAAATAAAGAGAGACTAATGTTAGTCATCAAGGTGACCAAAACCGAGAAGAAACTTGTTGATGACAAACAACTTTGCAGCCTTTAGGATGAGTACATATAGATTATAGTCAGTGATGATTGAAATCATCGAGCTCGATCTGTCAAGCAACTCATTCTTTTGAAGGGCTTAACATTCCTACTAAGATTAACAAAGCTAAAAGATGCTCAACTTCACTGAAGAAGACCTTATTGACAAGTTTACAGTTGGCATTTCTATGATAGCTTCGTTATTACGCCCGCAGCCACGCGATAAGTGTTCATCAATGCCTACAAGATTTTTCTGGATAACTGAATACACCTTATTGCAGATCGAGTGGAGTATCTTAAGCATCCATATAAAATCCGAAGAATACACCTCATTGCAGATTGAGTGGAGTATCTTAAGGATCCAGACAAAATCCGAAGAATACACCTCATCGTAGATTGAGTGGAGTATCTCAAGGACCCATACAAAATCCGAAGAATACATCTCATTACAGATTGAGTGGAGTATCTCAAGGACCCATATGAGATCCGAAGAATACACCTCATCGTAGATTGTGTGGAGTATCTTAAGGATCCAAACAAGTTCGTTATCATCTTCGTCCTTGTTTAGTTCAATAACAATGGGCTTTAGCTTGTTTGACTAAGTTCATTGTTATCAAGACGCAAAAGTTACCTTGTTTGGTTTAAGGAAGCTGAATCACTACGTTCCAATAACCAAGTCCAAGACGTCTCCGAATCAAGCGGAGTGAATGATCAGTCAATAAAATTTCAAGATCCAAAGTATTTTAAAAATTCATCCTAGTCAACCGCAAACTTTTGAAAACTTTGGAGGGGGTTCTGTAGGTTATCTAAAAATCACAACAGATAGTTAATCCCTATCAAACACCGATGATAAAAGTTACAATCCGACGGCTTCCAAAAGACTACAATTTAAAGACTTTCACATAGATCGATGAATGTTACAATCTGACGACCTTCATAATAACTGATGAAAACTCTAATCAATAGTCTTCACAATCAACTGCGAGAGTTACAATCTGACGACTTTCACACCCCAAAACAGCCAAGGAGAAGATCACTGAACAATGGTCTTTGCAACGTTTTACAAAAGAGGTTATGGATCACTAACCCCTTTCGAACGCAGAGTTCACCTTTGCGTGTTAGTTTTTCAAGCGCAGGCAACTCGTGCGTTTTCAACCTTCAATCAAACAAAATGCAAACGACCCGTGCGTTTTCGGCCCATGCGTTTCTAGTTTTTTAGCAGATACCCGACTCTGCGTCTCAAGTCTAAGATGTAGAGTTAAGACCCAGAATGCAAGCGGCCCTTGCATTTTTTAATTATCAGCAAGCACCCAACTCTGCATCTTAAGCCTAAGACACAGAGTTAAGGCCTATAACGCCGATTTAGACATTTGACTTGTTCAAACTCAAGCTGAACGGCCTCAAAAACCCTTTATCCCACGTTTTGAGGGATTTTCGCCCACATAGGAGCAGATTTAGGGGTTGGTTACACCCCTTACCCCCTATAAATAACCGCCTTACTCAACCGAGTAAGGGGTTGGATTTTTTTGGTTGGATTCCTGGAGATTAAGGGTGGATTCTTTTGGAGGTTGGAGCTTTTGGCTAGATTTTGAAGATCAAATCATCTACGAGATTAGCTAGAGAGAGTTATTAGCAGCTAGGAGATCAAGTCTCGAAGGATCCTTCAGCAACAGCAAATCCACTTGGCTTATTAACCGATCATTCGGTTTCAACAACTCTTTTCGCAGAGTTTTCAACTCGTTCTGAGTTACAAAACTCGTTAAGAGTTCTTAATCATACTTGACACGCAAGTTAGTTGTTCCCCAGCAAGACAAGACGTGTGGATCGTCAACGGAGAGTAAATTCGACACGAGCATTCGAAGGAAGCACTCCATCGCCACCGTGAAGAACCCATAATTAAACAAAGGGGAAAATTCAGATTAATTTTCCTCTCTTTTGTAATCGGAGTTCAATTTGTAATTAAGATTGAGAGAATACAAATCAATTTTTTTTCATTTTTTTACTACAAATTTTCCATCAAATAATATCGAGGGTTGTTATTTGACTTGTATTTCAGCACACGTATCTATTTGCATGTACAAAAGTACATTTTTGTTAAAAATATTAAAATAAAAGAGTACATTTGTGAAATGATGATTGAAGATCCACACTCTAAAATCCATGGCAAAATTGAGCGTATTCGTTAAAAGATGGTCAAAGACCCACACTCGTGGATAAAAATTGTGTACATCTCAAAGCGTAGCCATCCTATACTAAATATTGATATATTTAGAGATGGTGTACATAGCGCGCCAATCACTATTGTTCTTCCTCTTAAAAATACTATACGGTTGAGGTGACAAGACGATACTTTGGTCCTTAGTTTCTAAGGTTGAGATAATTCAAGCCATATATTGCTCATTATTCTCTTTGATCTATCTAAATTTGTCAAGTGAACTAGTGAAATTCTTTTTACTATTTATTTTATATACTTTACAATGAAATCTCATCATTTTATGTGTGATTTTTTATATGATTTTCCTCATATTCATTTGTTTTTGTGATTGGATTTTAACATCGCGTGCTATATTTTATCTATTTTTTTGTGAACTAGTGTGTATTTCTCTTTCTTACACCTTTGGATGATTTTTATCTGAAATTTTCAAGTATAAAGTATAACCATTGGCTTGTTTTTTCATCTTTTGATAATAACAAAAGGGAGTGAAGATTTGATGTGAAATTTAAAAAAAATTTAAAAAATTGAAAATTTTCTTTAAATAAGCGATGATTTTCGGTTGAGTATATTTTTAAAGTGGTTTCATGTTTTTTATTTGATTTGATTTTTTTTCAAACACATGATGCATTGTTTTAAGGAGAGTTTTTACATATCTACACGTGTCTACATTCTTCATGAATGCATGAGGTAGAGGCATCATTGCATATCTTTTCCCTTTTACGTTTTGTACTTATTTTTGTTGTATCTATACCTTAAATGTGCATGTTTTTCAGTATTTCAAATTTTAAATTTATTATTATCAAAAGGAGGAGATTGTTAACACAAAGTTCGTACAGTAGTTACTTGTTTGAGTAATAACAAACTCTCATTTGGTGCTAATATTTTTTTGATATGATATAACACATGTGAAAACAAGTATACGGAGGTTACGAGGCGAAACGACGCAAAAATGAGTATCTATGTTGATTTTAGCTTTGGAACTTTCATTGGTCTACAATGAACCGTCAATGGTCAAGGCTCATCGATGGTCTATAGTGAACAATCGAAGAAATTAAAGAAAGTAAAAAAATCAAACCATCGTTAGGTTACAGGAAACCATCGATGGTCCCTTGAAACTATCGATGGTGTACGTTGAACAATCGCAGATTTTTAGAAATTTGTTCTTTGAAAAAGCGTTATAAATTTTTTTTAAAAAAATTTGTGCTTTGTTTTGGTAGTTTGTGTTTCATCTTGTTTTTATGGCGTATGCAAGCCGGTGATAATTGACGGGTTGGCACTAGTTAGGCAAGGTATTACTCATCTGTGAAGAATTAGGTTTAGACGAGTTAGGTTAGACGAGTGGTTTCGAGTAAATTCCAAAGTGCGAACTTTGTAAGCCTACTAAATCGTATTGTAATTCAATTAAGCTCTAGTCATAGTGAGTAAGCCCCTTAGTGAGAAGAAAGAGCGAACGTAAAATTATTATCTAAACCACTATAAAAATCTCGTGTTTTCTTGGTTGGTTTTTGATTTGATTATTCTCTTTTATTTTTCTATATCTCCATTGCTTACTCTGTGTATTAGTGAAAAACTATAGCAAACCTATTTATACCCTCCTCTAAGTTTGCATCTCAGATCTGACAATAGCCATTGACGAAACGCAACCAAAAAAAGCATCCATATCGAAAAGATCACAGACATAGCTTAACCGGAAAGAGGGAAATATTTGATAGATTCTCTCCAACAAGCATGGTTCAGTTCAATCATCCTTGCATCATACAAAAGTTTTCTTTCCTCTGTCTTACACAACTTGCTATACAAATGAATACCAGCAACCTAAGTCCACGTTGTCGGCAAAAGGGCTCTAACTCATGATTGATGAAGCAAAGCATGTAGAAGCTGGAACTCCATCAAAATACAGCAGTCTCAGCTTCTTAACAAAGTTCTCTCTCTTCGTCTGAATATGCTAAAAGGGCTCTAACTCATCTTTTTTTAGTTGCCTCTGCTCAATGCTTTTCTAAGGCGAGCAGATACAGAAGAGCCGTACAAGATAAGGTAAAGCACAAAAGCCAAATAAACCGCTAAGCCAGCACAAACAATTGAACCTAGCACTAGGCCATGTATTGAAGAAGAGAAGAATTCTAGGAGGAGGTAACCGTTGATGCCTATCAGGAATGCTGCAATTATCCAGGTAAGAATCTGCAGCAGAGACAAATATAATGTATTATGAGCAAAGGAATTGAAGGTAATTAACATGGAGACCCCAGTCATGTGATTTTATTGTGCAGAGTAATGAACCAAGAAAAAACATATAACCAGTGTACAGAAGAAAATATGTGAATTTTTTTTTTTTTTATCTAAAAATATTTACACGTATTATTTCCTCATAACAATTGTCTGATTTTGACATCACTAAATTTGTCGGCAAAGGGATAGAGACAAAAAAAAAAGTATTGTTTGTATATGAAACCAAAATTAAGATCATGAACTGTGTGGTCACTTTTTAACTCTTATCTATACACTTTATCTGGCCATCTTAATTTTTTGTCTGCATGTCTGCTGCTGTGCAAATTAACTTCTGGCCTCCTATTCTATAATCCTGAGACCTCATCAGGACTACTTACGAAACTTATTGAGCATAATTGTACGAAAAAAATTATTATAAGCATGCAATGCTATGCGGCTATACATTTACAATAAATTCATTAGGCAGTCTTAATTGCGCTCCCTAAAATAAAAACTAAGATCTCTATTGCCCCGGGTTTTGCTGACTGAACTCAATCAGGTTGAGCCATGAAGAACTTTTTCCACCTTATAAATCCAAAAGGTTGTGAAGACATTAAATTGTTTGTGAAGCGATACTCATAAATTATAACCTTCCTAGTACTCCAACTAAATGATATGTACAGCACTAATGAAAGCATCAATGCGGACTCTCCCCTATTTCACAAAAAAATAGAGAATTCTTTGGTTAGGAACAGCATCAACTTAAGGGAATCATCAATATATCTAGGTGTCAAAGTACAACTACTCATGTAAAATTTCTAATTATTAATGTCATTTTTGTGATAACTTAGATAGGTACCAGATAGGAGTTAAGTCAATATGTGTAAGCTTTTCGATCACATATCAATGTGATCAATACAAATATCTAGGTAACTAGCCGCCATTTTAATTCAGCTGACTATCACTCTATTGACAAGCAACCATCGTTTGATTTGATATGAAGATCAACTTCCCAAAATCATGTAAATTGGAAGAACGAATTGCCATTGCAGTAGATAAGGTAGTAAAATTTGCAAATAAGATAACGGACATGATAATGCAATAAACTAGAAGATGCATAACAAAAGATGTGAAATGCTGAAAGATTACGGAAATAACAACTTACTTTCACACCATAAGAAATCTTGAAAACTCCCATGATTTCTTCCTTGGATACTAAGGTGAGAAGTGGGATAAGTGCAAATGGAACCTGAACTGACTGAAGCACGTTAAGTGACTCATTCAGTATATCCATTGTAGGTCCAGACGTATCGAAAGCTAGTGCAACAATTATAGTCGGAACTATCGCAAAGCTTCTAGTAATCAAAGCTCGAACCCATTTCTTCAAACGAAGATTAAGAAACCCTCCCATTATAAATTGGCCAGCATAAGTGCCGGTAATTGTGCTACTCTGCCCTGATGCTAACAAACCAAGACCCCAGATATAGAGAATAGGGAATAACATAGCTCCATACTTCTCTTGAAGAAACTGCCCTGCGTTCTCAAGGCCTATAGTGTTTGCTACTTCAGAACCATAGAAACCCTTTGCAAAAACTGTTGTTACCAAGACATTGATTATGAAGGAAACGAAAAGGGCAGCGGCAGATTCAATGGCGTAATAGTTGAGAGCTTCTTGAACTCGGCCCTTCTTGGTGGGATCGATCTTCCTTGATTGTACAAGGGCGGAGTGCAAGAAAACATTGTGTGGCATGATGAGACAACCCACAACGCCTACAGCTTGCTTTATGGTTCTTGAACCTAGTTTAGGAACCACAACACCTACAAAGCCATTTTTTTACAATCAACTGTAATTTGAACAAGCGCGCATAATTTTACATCAAGAGGAAGGGGGGTAAATATGCAAAGAAATGAGTGTGCAGATGATATAATGATAGATACCGATGAGAAGCTCTCGGCCGCTGGGTTTGGTTTCGCCAAACATTATGGCAAAAGAAATAGCCATTGTAGCAATGAGAACACCGAAGAAAGCTTCCAACTTCCTCACTCCATAGTTCTCAAGGAACAGGAAAATGAAGCTGCCGACAGAGGACTAGAATTATCAAACTTCGATTTACAGAACAGAGCCCTAAATCATGGATTGCTACAATTGAACCATTCAGATGCATTCTGAATAACATTTTTTTGATATTAGAACAACTAAATATTTATTAACCTTGCGCCTCAGATTACTTGCACATTAGCTTGACTGGAAGAGAACGGTAAATTTAACTAGCAGAGGGTAAATATACAAAAGGCAAATCAATAAATAATTCATTGTAAAAGTTGCAAATAAATAATTAACTCATTTCACTTTCTAAATAACTACTAAGTTTCACAAAAACACAGCAGTATTTTGGAAGAAGCTTCTTTTTCCAATGGGAGACCTCGGTTGTACATAATCCAATCATAAACAAACAAAAAATAATAATAAATAAATGAAACGAAACCTAAATCAAATAAAACCCAGCAAAGCCCTAAGCATCTCCAACCCAAAAACCCAAAATGGTGTAGTTTTTACACCAAGTTGGTGTAGTTTTTACACCAAATTAATATTTCATCTCCAACCCATTACACCAAATGGTACACCAAAAAGAATATTCCTTTTATTATTCTTATCTTTTAACATTTTTATCTATAACAAATTATATAATTATATAATACATTACATATAATTAATTATAATAATATATTTTATAAATAAAATAAAAATATAAAAATTAAATGCTAAATCAAATTAAAATATCACTTTCATAAATTCAACTAAAGATTACATTTAACATCACACTTGCAAGCAGAAAAATATTTCGTTATTACGACCTCGAGTGATTTCAGATTCGAGATCGGATGAAGAGGATAACACGTTCGAATCTCACAGAGCAATTGAGGGAGTATCAGATTAGATCTAAGTATGATTGGGCTTTTGTTTCCTTCTTCTCTTCTACGTCTAGCGTCTGGTCGACGAGGTAACTTAATTTTTGTTTTGTGGCTAGGGTTTGATTTTGATCGTATCTGATTGTTCTCCTTTGTCTTTGTTTATAGAAACTTTTGATTTAAAGGTGAATTTTTTGTTCATGATATGCTGGAAATTTTAATTTTTTGGTAAAAGTACATCCCTTACCTTCATCAAACGTTTCAGTTTCGACTAGATGCATTGATTCCAACTTTAATAAATGGGGAGTCAATTCATGTTAAGATGCATTGAATGTGAGCTTACCTTTTAAAATCAAGTGTTAATTTTCATGTAAAAAATTAGTGCTAATTTATTCAGTATTTTTATGCCCTTCAGGTAATGAGCTTTTATGCAACAGCTTAACATGAAAAGGAAAGGCTACAGTATTTTGCTTCTCCTGAAGACAGAGATGACTTATATCCGTACAATCAGAAGGAGCGAAGAACGGTTCTAGAGGTGAGTTATTCTGGAATTTTAAAAGCTCATTACAGATCCCTCGAACAGGTATATCCTCTGATTGCTCATTGGTATAGTTTTTGTTGTATTTATAAAGATATCATCAAATTTTATACTAACTTTGCACTTAGACCATCAGCAGCAGGAGGGCAAATATTGCTCTCCACCTCAGCTTTTGTCCCCACCAATTAAATATTTAGCACCCTCTTTTATTTCAGCTCCACAGCAGGAAGGCAAATATGTACTTTTTTACTTTATCTATACCCCACCATATTTTCTCTTTCATCCACATCACTATATCATATACCCACCGTATTTATTTATTTTGTATTCATATTTATTATTTTCTCTTTCATCCACATCACTATATCATATACCCACCGTATTTATTTATTTTGTATTCATATTTATTGGGAAGGATCCATGAAGAAGGATCCATGAAGAAGGATGAAGATTCATGGGAAAATTAAAATTTTGTGAAGGATCCATGAAGAAGGATGAAGATTCTAAAAAATAATGAAAATAGGGTGTAAAAATCTCGAATTTTTTTTGTTGTCCAAATGACACAAACTTAGGCTCTATTTATAGAGCTCGAAAAATAAAAAATATTGATATAAAAATTAAATATCAATTTCAGTCAATTATGGGCCAAAATATTAAATTAAATAATATTTATTTTAGTACACTGGTGGACCGTGCTTTTCTTTTACTTTTTTTTTTATTTCTAGTACACTGGTGAGACAGCCGGCGCTGACGTGGCGCAATCTGGTTGGACCGTGCTTTTCTTTTAATTTTTTTTTATTTTTTTTACACTGGTGGGACCCACATATTCAGATTTGCCCATGGGCAATTTTTGCTCTCCAAAACATTCTCTCTCCAGTTGCTTTCCATTTTGCTTCCTTGCTGTACAAGATATTTCCACATTTGCTCTGCTGCTGTATGTGGTCTTAATTCATGATAATTCATGTTAATTATAGTTTTATTGTAAGGATGAGCTAGCTATGATCGGCCATTGTCGTCGAGAAAATCAAGATGCGATCACTACTATAGGTAGCCTTTTAGTTTTTTCATATTTAAAGATTCTCTTAAAGTTATGATATGTTGATTTGTTGAGATTTTATTTTAGTTTTAGGGAAATCATATTGATGTGGTTATAGGATTTGATTCAATCAGACCGTACAAACGAGGAAAACTTGCTAGCGACAAGATTTGAACCTCATGCGGTCAGATACTTGATTAGGGCTTATTTTTGTTGTTCATGTTTGATTTAGACCAAAATTTTTCTATTCATGTTTGGTTATATGAATTGGAAATTTTATTTCACTTTTTATAATTAAATTTTAGATAAATATTTTCACACATTTATGCGCTGAAAAAATTGGCTTTTATTGTGCTATTTCGATTTCAGTTTTGAGTAGTTATTTTATCTTTAAAACTTTGGTTAATGAAGTAGTTATCGAATCGAACTTGCTCGAATATCTAGACAAATAATAACCAAACTATTTATTAATTATTCGATTCACTTCCACCACTATACTTCATATCTAAAGCAGAATAATTTATTTTGATAACATGTTAAATATTTGCCGAAAATCTTTTAGGATCCGTGCTTTGCACGGATTTAAATACTAGTATTATTAATAGATGGAGTAATAACAAAAGCAAAAAAAAGTTGCACCAATACTACAGTGTTATGCCATTCCTGGTACAACACTGTAGCATCCTGCTATTTTAGCGGGAGATTTGGCACTAAGTTGGAGTGAAAAAACACACCAACTCGCCGTTTTGACGCTCCGTTGGAGAGGCCCCCGTCAAATCAATTTAGAGAAGGGGGAAAAAACCTGGCCAACAAGGAAAGCATCCCATTCTATTTTCATCAAAAATAAAAGAAAAAAAAAATCAAAACTTTTACCAGTCAAAGGCCGTGATAATGACCCCCAACCAAAGAGGCACAACTCCACCGCTCAAAATCTTGATGGCAATCGCACTCCCAATGACCTCCTGGATATCCGCCCCGATAAGCGCCATCTCCGCCATGGCCCACAGAGCCACGCTGGCCCACCTCGGATACTCCTCCCTACACAACTCCGCCAGGTGTCTCCCCGTCGCCACCCCCAGCCTCGCCGACAAGAGCTGGATCAGGAGGCCCATAACCGTGGCCCACAGAAGGAGCCAGAGCAGGGAGTAGCCCGCGATGGCGCCGGCCTGGAGATCGCCTTCGAGGTTCCCGGGGTCCAGGAAGGCGATGCACATGAGAAATCCCGGGCCGGTGAAGCGCCAGAGCTTGCGGAAGGAGAAGGGGGGAGTCGAGGTCGAATCTGATGACGATGATCGTGGGTTTTGTTCTTCGTCGTCGTCGTCGGAGATTGAGATGAGGACTTTCTCGTCGGAGTCGTAGGCGTGCTCCTCGTCGGAGGACGTGGCCGAGGCGTATGACGGGAGGAGGCTTGCGGTGAGGGATTTCGGTTGGGACTCCGCCATTGCTGGTTTCTTTCTTTCTTTTTTTTTTAAAAGATTGTTAAGTTTGTTTACTTCGGGACTGTGAGAATGATTGATTCTCTTCGGGCCTGTTGGTGGGCTGAGTGGCCTTTAATGTTGGGAGGATATTCTCTTTTTAGACCCTAACAAACTTTGAAATTAAGGCTTTTAACAAATAGACAATTTTTGTGGCAAAATTTACTAGAAGCCCCCTCTGTCTATATTTTATTTTATATGAAACCCTCTAACCTGTTAAGTTGAATAAAAAGGCTTCTTATCTATAATCATTAACAAAACCGTTAACTTAACAATGATTTTTTTTGTTTTTCAGACGTCTAGAAAGTCCAAAAGCCTGCATTTGGGTTTAGTTCTGCTATGTGTAAACCAATCTAGATTAGTGTTGGTTTAGTTCTACGTGGTCTCGATATAAATTGGTGTTCATAGAACTATTTTTAAATTAAACACGGTTTGGATATTTCCAGCTATATAATCTCATGATCTTGGATAAAACTTGATCTTAGTAATTGACTAAGCGTGTTTGCCAAACTAATCTCTGGTTTTATGTTTTTATTCTATTTTCCTCTTTTTAATCGCCCGGAGAAATAAAAGAAGTAGAAATTTTTTAGTTCTTTTTTGAATTTCTATGCATTATCTCTTAGATTCAATTGAGGATTTGAGGTTTTTAATATTTAACTAGTTGCAAATTTTCTATAAGCGACTATGGCAATGCTTAGAAAATTTTCAGAGAAGAATGAGGATTATAACTTTGTGAAGGATAACATTGAATTTTGATAGTTCAATATTTAGCGAGCGTGAATTTGAAGTTGCACATTAATGAGACAAATATTATGTTTTGATATTTGATGTGAAGATGCCTATGCATGACATATAAATTTGAAATGATAGGTTTAATACAAGTTGATGACCGTCATGTTACCGTGGTAATCATAATAAAGAAAAAAGTACTAACAACAACTACTAAAGAAATCTCAATTGTTAATTTGTTATTTTCGCAACTAGCATTGAAGTACATAATAATAATATGAGAGTAATTTTTAAAACAAGGCCTAGTGTCAATATACTACAGGTGAAGGGGTTTAATGATAATTTATCCAATTTTAAATGCTCACGCAAGTGATAATGCTTTCTTTGTACCGGAGAATCCCCTAGTGCCACGTCAGCGTATACAGATACTTTAACCTGCTACTCTCGGTCTCAGTCACGGCGGTAACGCTTACCGCCATGCTCGACGGGAATACGTGGACGCGACGAGCGGACGCGAGGAGCGTGTACAGAGCGAATATAGAGAGAGTAGCGTGAGGAAGGCGCGAGAAGGATCCCAGTGGGTCCCATTTTGCAAGACGCTGACCCGTGGTAGGCTCGGAACCCCACGAGCCTGGAGCGGGTCTAAGGACTCTTGATCCGTTGTTTAACCGGTTGGTCCGGTAATCTGGATCGCGACGAAAACTAATGTTGGTTACTTATTATTAATGCAAAGGATAATGATATAGGATGGTGAAAGGATTAGAATCTTTTCTCGTTCATATTTGGAGATGTCTAGTGATGGGGGTGTAACCATCCAGCACCAGAGTATGTGAATTGTTAGCGATGAGATCATACACAAAGTTCTCTTCGTTTATTAAAATTTTAAATTTAATTAGTAAACATTCTGAATCTTAATTTTTAATGATTTTGGTGATTTTTTTTTTTTGAAGAGATTAAATTTGCGCCCAAAAACTGTTCATCTGAGATCATGTTTCTTAAAACCGTAGAGATTCTCTCCAAATCTAATAAATTGAGAGGTGGATGGTGTCCACTAATAAGAAGATTGAAAATGTTAACCAACCTTGAAAAATGCATAAGCAGATAAAATAATGCATTAATAATTAGTTTCTTGAACTTCTCAATTGATGCTAATGGATGTGCTAGTGTTGATAATGCTATCCTCTTGGTGAGAGAAAGAGGATCCTCTTAGACCTCTCTAGTTATTTGTGAAGTACCATGATCTTAATTAGACAATAAGTTCCGCCATTAGAGAGCTTGAAAAGTGAGTGCTGACTAAAGAGAGGAGAAAGAGGAGGAGAATGACTAAGACAGCGAGCGAACGATGATCCGGATGAATTTTTTTTTCTAAATTCCGTTGTCTGCCCTCGCGTGAGGAGGCGGAACAAGGGTTGTTCCGCCCTCTTAGCAGGAATAGTTAACCCTCCTATTGACGGGTTAAATTGGTTTTTGGGGTCACGTGAGGGTTTATTAACCCTTTGTCTTATTTTTGTGTTTGGCAGACTAATAAAGGGTTAAACCCCCTTAACCCTTCATTTAACCCCTCACCAAACGCAGCCTAAGTGATGTACCATGATCTTAGACTCTTAATTTTTTTTGCCTTATCCTAATTCAAACATCTGTTGACCCGTAGTCGATTTCTAATAATAATTTGGTTTTTTTTTATGATAAAAGACCCCGAAATCTTCTATATATTAGACTCTAAAATCTTGTTATTTCTAAATTAAACCTCTAAATCCTTTAAGTCATTCAAAAAAGACCTTTAGATTAGGTTTAACTTTAGTTTGTTAAATTTTATGTTAATCTTCATGATTTTATTTTAATAGATCATTTTAGCCATTTTAAATGAATTATGTTCTTCCCCAGTTTCTCTCTCTCTCTCTCTCAACTCATCAAACATATTGTCTCTTACTCTCATCCTTCTTCTTCAATCTATTCTTTTAATTTTTAGTTTCTTAAAGCCTATTAGAGTTTGAGATTTTGAGGGGAAAATAGACGGACTAAGAAAAAAAGGAGAGACAGAAGAAAATTTGGGAAATGTAAAGAGAATGAAGTTGGGATCCTAACCAATGTATTAAATTTTCGATGTAAGATAAATATTAGGCAACCAAAATTCATATCAAATTGCCAAATTTGTGCATATATTATGGATATGTAAGAAATATCGGGATGTCAAATCAGATGACGTCAAACACAACTGAAAAAGCCCGTGAATTTTAGAAAATAGTGTGAATTATATTGATAAATGAGCTCTAATTATAATGAATATTATTTAAGGATGAATGATTATGCTAACAACTGATTTGAGATAAATTAAGAGTATATATGAGAGTATACAAAGGTTAAACATGCACAAAGAAGAAATATAGAAAAATAACCAGTTAAGAGTATATATGTATTACACACCGATACTGTTCGAATATGGAAAAACTCAAAAGACAAATGTTGTAGGTATATTCAATATATTTCCAAATGCATCTTAAATCACCTCATTCCGAGGTCGTACGTGAATGTTACAGCTAAAATACCAAAGACTATGTTCCCAGTCTGACTAGGTTTCCTGTTTCGGGTTTGAGCTGTTTTGATTCGGGTTTGCAGTTATATATATACATGTTTACACATAAAAAATACATCTTTTTCATCAGTATTCTAAACCCTAGCAGTCCCTCTTCCTCTCTCTCAAACTCTAATCATAATTTGTGAGATTTGGGAAAGTTCTTGAGGTGTTTGTCTGGAGGAAGGTGGGATTTTGCGACTTTGGTAAAGAGGGATCTTGCACGCATGTGTTCAGGAGTTCAACACGATGTTTGAGGTAAGATCATCTTCCTCTAAACCTTCCCCTATAATTAATTCAATATTTAATATGTTTAATTGATGAATCTCATGTTTAAGCTTAACCCGATGTTTTAAAATCTTAGTTTATGATGTTAATCTCTAAACCAATGTGAAAATATATAGTTTTAGTTTTTGTTTATATTAGTTTTATGATCATGATCATTAGGGTTGTATTTAATTTTGTTTTTAACTTGTTAATCATGCATAAATTATGTTTAAACCCTAGTTTAATAATTATTTGAGTTTTCTTGCTAATTAAAGAGGTCTAAACCCTAGGTTGATGATACTTAAGTGATGTGAGCATGTTTAAATGAATTTATCTTTGTTCAATTTTTATAATTTATCATGTTTACTTAAACATATTTATAAATTAGGTTATTTGAGAAATTTTGATTAATTAGGATGTTAAACCCTAATTAGTTTAATTCAAGTGTTCATATCATGATGAGTTAATTCTTGTTAAGTAATTATGAAAGATTTAATCTTGGTATATGCCTCATGTTGATAAAAATAAGTTTTTAAATAAAGTTACAAATACAAAATATTAGAAATCTAAACTTGTGTTTTCCTCTCTAGCTGGTTGACCGACTAAGACTAGCCAGTCGACCGGTGAGGCCCTAAGCGTGCACATTATGTGCACGATTGCTTTCGATCAACCGACGCCCTAAGGGCGGTTGATCGACCTATGTTTTATTTATTTTTGAGTGGTTGTTTTTGCATCGTTTGACCGTGAGTACGAGGTTCGAGCCACATGATGACACACATACAATCATGAGCATACATAAATAGTGTTGTAGTACACACAAATATCCTGGAGAGGATTATTAAAGGTATTATTGTCAACCACACATGGGATATGGGTTATTTAAACATTATATACATATATGGATATCTTTGATGAGCATCGCTCGACACTACTTGGGATAGTGCGTCGATATACCATTAGTATAGGCCATTGAGTCGGGTTTTAGGATACTTTGTTGACCCTATAGTTTTGATGATGATTTGACAAACAATTTATTACTAATAAGTTTTTCCAGTGGTTTGTGTTTATGTTCCATTTTCAGGTATTTCAACACAGCATTAAAGATTCAAGTTCATCTGCGTGGATTTACCTAGGTATTTGTTTAGTTTTTCTTACATATATGGTATGATGATATCTAAGCTCAATATATATACACTTAACACGATTTTTGACGTTTTATATCATATAGATGATTTTTCTTAAAACATTGTTAAAATATCTTTATCTCTTGTTTACAGCTCTCTCACGCTTTGCTATATACATATAATTTATGCACAATACATATATGAATATTTACAAGTCCTATTTCAAATTTCACTTTCATAAAAATACAGGTTTTCTAAGTATTTTTCAAAAACAGGTAGTTTTTCACAAACGAAATTTGTTTTTCCAAAAATTCCTTTTCAAACATGTTCATTTCATTATTTATAAACTTTCCCCAAAGTTTCATTATTTTTGGATATGAATTGATATTTTTAACGAATTTCCAAAAACTGTCCAAAACCTGTTTTCTGCCCATGTCAGATTTCGGTCGACCGATACGGTCGACCGACGGCTGTCTCGGTCGACCGGAATTTCCGTCGGTCGACCGAAATATCCATTCGGTCGACCGAATTTCACGTCGGTCGACCGCCAGCCTCAAAACATGTTTTCTCACGTTTTTTGAACTAATCGGTCGCCCGTACCGGTCGACCGACGAGCTGACAAACTGAGCCTAACGGCTAGTTTTTCAAATGGGCTTTTTGGTCTTTTTCTTATTTTTAGCTGTTGCAATGGGGTGCTATATATACCCCATTGCTGCTCTTCTTCTCTATCAATCAAGAAATCCAAGTTTACTGTTTAGCAAGATATTAATCACGTTTAAGAGGTGTTTAAGAAGTGTTTGAAATCCAAGTTTGCTATTTAACAAGTTGTTAATCTCGTTTAAGAGCTGTTTAAGAGTTGGTTTCGTTAATCAGTTTTCAAGAGAAGTTTTTCTACAACAAGAAGATGCTTTCAAATCTTATTGAGATCATCATTTCCTCAGCTCTTCTTATTCATTGAGAAGTTTTCTAAACCCATTCTTATATAGCTTGTTATTTCACTTTCAATTGATTAAGCTATATTCATTGAGTTATATTTATTGAGTTTCATTCACTATTATCACACACACTTATTGAGCTTTATATTCTCATATTATATTGTGGGTTGTGGTGTGGGATTTAGTGAGTGTGAGCTTCATTGTGTTCTCACTTGTTAATTGAGAACAAATCATTGTATTTAACTTTTATTTGTGAGAATCACTTGTAATACACTTGTACACCGAGAGAAGTGTGAGGAGAGAGAGACGGGGTCAAATCCAATAGGAGTGGCGTCGATTGACGAACCTAGGGAGAGGTTGTAATCGAGCACTTGAGGAGGAGGACACGGGCTAGATTCCTACACTTAGTGTGTAAAGTGTGATTGTTGAGTGATTGTGTAGTGTGAGAGTTTTCGGTGAACTTGTAAACCGAGTGTGTAGAAGTTCCGGCTTCCAAACCGGATTGTGATAGTGGATATCTCCTCGAGGTGAGGAGCGGGGACGTAGGTCGTGGGGACCGAACCTCGTAAACATATCGTGTGTTTGTGTTTTGCTTGTCTCACATTTTATTTGTGCATATTCTTATTATTCTTATTGTTCTTATTGTTCATATCTATCTCTTGTAAGAACATATTGATCAACATAATTTTAATTGCTATTAATTGGGATTAGATTAGCATAAGACCCTAATCACCCCCCCTCTAGGGTCTAACAATTGGTATCAGAGCTTGGTGCTCTTTGATTTAAGGACTAACCGCCTTGAGTTAAAGATCCAAGTTATTGTATTAGTGCTAATCTAATTTTGATTAATTGTGCTTCTTGCATTTCATCTCTATGGATATGAATGATTCATCTTGCTTAGGATATGCTATTAATATTGCTCCTCGTTTGGATATTTTCCCCTACGCTCAATGGCGCATTAGATTCAAACTTTTTGTTCAATCTAATCAATTTGATTTGTGGGAAATTATTGAGGATGGTTATGTTATTCCCATCTTGGAAAAATCCAAATGGTGTGATAATGATAAAAGATTGTTTAACATGAACAAGCTTTTGCTAGGATTTTTGATTAGCGCTTTTCACTCATCGTTTTCTAACAAACTTGCTAATTTTGATAGTGCTTATGCTTTATGGAAACTTATTGAAGCACATGAAGGAAAATTGGAGGCTATTCAACAAGCGTTGGAAAATCCCGCTTTGAGCTCTAAGGAAGCCTCATCCCCATGTACAACACCACTAGGTAGTAACCCTAGTGAGGTATGCGATAACGATGATATTCTTACTTTTGATGAACTTGCTCTTGAATTTGAAAAATTACACAATTGCTATATTAATGTAAAGAGTAAGTATGTTAATTTAAAATCCACTCATGAAACACTAGCTATTAAGTTTAATTTTATTACAAATGAAAATAAAATTGAGGTATGCGATAACGATGATATTCTTACTTTTGATGAACTTGCTCTTGAATTTGAAAAATTACACAATTGCTATATTAATGTAAAGAGTAAGTATGTTAATTTAAAATCCACTCATGAAACACTAGCTATTAAGTTTAATTTTATTACAAATGAAAATAAAATTCTTAAAGAATGCAATGAAAATTTGAAAATTGAAAATGCTAGTTTCCTTCATGAAAAGTGTGATGCGATGTTAGAAGTAGATAAGTTGAAATCTATGACGAGTAATCTTGTTTATCCTACTTCTAATAACAATGCTTGTATGCACAATGATGAGTTGAATCAAATGAAAAAAAGAATATCTACCTTAGATTCAACACTAAACACTTGTATTGCTAATAATAAAAAGCTTATGGACTTATGTGCAAAGTTCAATGTTAATTCCTCTAAGAAACCTATTCACTATGCACATATGTATGACAAAATTCACAAATGTTCTACTTGCGGTCTTAAAGGCCATTTAGCTCAATTTTGTCATAATGCACCAAAAACTGACAAGCCTACACATGATTGTGCATCCCAACAAGCTTCATCATCACATACTCATGTACACACACATAGTGTAAATCATAAACATGCTTATGTGTACAAATGTGATTATTGTGGTCGTGTTGGCCATTTGGCCATGTTTTGTTTCGATTTGAAAAGAAATTCTCGTTTGCAAAATAATTACAAAGGAAAATCTATTTTTGCAAATGAACCACGTGCATTCTATTTCGGTCAACGTAAACCATTTAAACCTCTACATTGCACAAATTGCAATCGTATGGGTCACGTTTACAATTTTTGCTTTGATCGTATTGGTGCACAAAATACGCTCAAACGGGTTCATAACCCTAGGGCCTTGGATTTAAATGATAGGGGTCATGTCCCAAGTTCTAGTGGTACCAAAATGATTTGGGTACCAAAAAGACTTATATAGTATTTTTTTAATGATTTGTTTTTGTTTTGTTTTGTCTTTGAAAAATTTCTTTTTGGCTTTGAATGACAAATTATATTCCTTGTGTCAGAATAAATTATTTATATGTTTTTAATAGACAAAATTACTTATATACATATTATAAAACTTTTAGTAGTTTGTAAAATAAATTTCCAAAAGAGTTTATAGTAAAAATATCTCAAAAATCAGGTTTTTGCTTATTACTTTCTTTCGGTCGACCGACCCGGTCGACCGACGGTTATCTGTAAGCATTCCGGTCGACCGCGTCGGTCGACCGAAATTGAATTTCTCAGCAGCGAGGTTTTCGATTTGTTTTTGTTTCGGTTTTTATCGGGTTTCCGTTTTTAGACCCGAACTGATCATCACCGCTCATCCCTCCATGAATCAATCTCAACCGTACTCTCTTCATCTCCTTGATCCGATCCTTCTCCTTCTCCCCATTTCGTCATTTTTCCCAAAGTCACGAAAATTCTTCACGGTCGCCTGGCTTCATCGACCGAAATTTTCATCCTTCATCATTCTCCGACAGCTTTGCTAGGTAATGATCTCCTTCTCATCTGTTTAACCTTATTTCATTGTTCTAGTATAAATTCTTCCTAATCTAGGGTTTTTGTTCTAGGGTTTCTTGTTAATTTGCTCTATATTGTTTTATGTTACAGGACATTGCAAATTTTCTCTAATCTTTTCAAAACCCTAACTCATCATGCCTCCCAAACCCCCCAAAAAGAGGTCTAAACCCGAATCTAGTTCCTCCTCTGTAAAAGCCTCACATTATGAGGATTATCTGTTGTTTAAACCTCTTGTTAAAAAATATAGGGAACTTTGTAAACTAAAAATTCTCCCAACTAGGTATATCAAGTATCCTGAACTGGCCATCTATAACACTCACTCTATTCTTCATAATGTTGGGTTGGATAAATTATTTGATGAAAGTTTTAAAGTTCCTTATTATCCCTTCTTAGTTTATCTGTTTTATGCTAACCTGTCCACAACATCTTCTGCTGATGTTAGTCTAACCATTACATCATCAGTAAAAAATGTTGAAATTACCTTCTCTGCCAACGAACTTGCGGGGATTCTTAATATCCCAACAAGTGACGTTCATCTCATGTCTGTTGATGTTGGTAATCCAGATGTTAACCCACTCATGTTTAAGCCCGGATGCTCATAATTGCCAGAATTGTTGCTCAAAATTTGATCCCTAAGACTGGTAGTTTTGATCACTTTGCCTCTGACAAGATAAATGCTGTTTATGCCATCTTTGCTAAAATCAAAGTTGATTGGGCTACTATCTTTATCAATAACATGGCATCTAAACACACCAAGTTTCTACCCTTTGGTTCCTTTCTCACTCTCATTTTTCAACATTTCAATGTTGACCTCACTAACGAACCTAAGGTTGAATCCAAGAGGGATTTCTTTGATGGCATCTCACTTTCCAGAATGCGAATATCTCTTGACTCCACTCCTAAACCATCCTCTCACTCCCGTTCTAGAGCCTCTACTTCTTCCACTTCTTCCACTTCTTCTTCCACTTCTTCCTCTTCTGAAATTTGTGACCGTCTTGATCGCCTTGAGACTCGAGTCTCATCTATACAGAAGGATGTTAGGACTATTCTTTCATACCAGCGTCAGTCTCTCGGGATCCCTTCAAAGTCTGAGTCTGATTCTAGTGAGGATTCTGCTGGTGGCTCAGATGGTGATGGTAGTGGAGATGGTGATGATGATGGTAGTGATGATGGTCTCAGTCTAGAGTTTCCTCCTCATCCGCCTCTGATGTTTGTGATCGTCTAGACCGTCTTGAGATTCAGGTCTCATCTATTCAAAGGGATGTTAGGAAAATTCTTTCATATCAGCGTCAGTCTCTAAACATTCCAGATCACTCTTCTAGTTCTGATTCTGATAGGGGCACTGCTGATGGATCGGGATCTTCAGATAGTAAGGATGATGGTAAGGGTGATCGTGACAGTGAGGGTGGTGAAGATGAATTAAGTTCCTTTTTGTGATGCTCATCTTTGTTTTGCTACTTTATGTTGGATTGTAAAACTTAATACTATGTTTTATTTGAGTGTAATAACTCTATGGATTTATGTGTGTGGTTTGAGATATTGAGGACAAATCTATGTTTATGCAAATTATGTTTTGGTGTGTAGCAAATAAGTTGCTTATCATGAGTCTTCTGTATTATTTAAGTTCAGTATTTTCATGCACACTTATGATTTTTTATTTTGAAATTTACTGTGGTTGGTTCATTTCTTCTATGATTGCATAGTTATATTTATTTTCTGGTATGTGGAAAATAGTTTGCTTAGCTTCTTTGCATTTCTTTATGCCACCTACTCTATTTGACAGGGGGAGCTATTGACTTTTTCTGTATATGTGCTCATAAACAGGGGGAGCATTGCTCCTATCTCCTCATTTTCTATTCCTTTTTGATGTTGTCAAAGGGGGAGAAAAATCCACATATATAGATATATAGATATATGTCTTCTATGCATTGGTTTATATATAGATCATGTTGTGAAATTATAAGTTTATGTTCATTGTTTGCCATCATCAAAAAGGGGGAGATTGTTGACCCTATAGTTTTGATGATGATTTAGCAAACAATTCATTACTAATAATCTCTCTAGTGTTTTTGTGTTTCTAGTTTCTTTTCAGGTATTTCAAGTTCACAAGTCAATCTAGCGTTAAAGATTCAAGTTCTTTTTGTGTGGTTCTACCTAGGTATATGTTTAGTTTACCTACATATATTGTATGATTGTATTCAAGCTCAATATATATACACTTAACACGATTTATAACGTTTTCTATCATATAAATGATTTTTCATTAACCGTTGCTAAAATATCTCTATCCCTTTTTTTTTTACAGCTCTTTCATGTTTCACTATATACGTATAATATATGCAAATATATATATGTGAATATTTACATGTCTGAATCAAATTTCACTTTCGTAAATTTACAGGTTTTCTAAGCTGTTTTCAATAACAGGGAGTTTTAGCAAACGAAAAATGTTTTTCCAAAATTTTCTTTTCAAACATGCTTATTTCATAATTTATAAACTTTCCCCAAAGTTTCACTAATTTTGGATATGATCTGATATTTTTAACGATTTTTCAAAACTCCCCAAAAACCTGTCAATTTTCTCATATCAGTTTTCGGTCGACCGATACGGTCGACCGACAGACTGTCTGTTTCTAAGAAAGTTTCCCAAAGTTTTCCGGTCGACCGAAATTTACGTCGGTCGCCCGAAATTTACCTTCGGTCGACCGAAAATTACGTCGGTCGACCGCCAGCTTCAAAACTTGTTTTCTCACGTTTTTTTGAACTAATCGGTCGACCGTACCGGTCGACCGACGCATTGACAAATGAGCCTAACGGCTAGTTTTTTCAAAATGGTTTTTTGGTCTTTTTCTTATTTTTAGCTGTTGCAATGGGGTGCTATATATACCCCATTGCTGCTCTTCCTCTATTTTAATTAAGAAATCCAAGTTTGCTATTTAACAAGTTGTTAATCTCGTTTAAGAGCTGTTTAAGAGTTGGTTTCGTTAATCAGTTTTCAAGAGAAGTTTTTCTACAACAAGAAGAGGCTTTCAAATCTTATTGAGATCATCATTTCCTCAGCTCTTCTTATTCATTGAGAAGTTTTCTAAACCCATTCTTATATAGCTTGTTATTTCACTTTCAATTGATTAAGCTATATTCATTGAGTTATATTTATTGAGTTTCATTCACTATTATCACACACACTTATTGAGCTTTATATTCTCATATTATATTGTGGGTTGTTGTGTGGGATTTAGTGAGTGTGAGCTTCATTGTGTTCTCACTTGTTAATTGAGAACAAATCATTGTATTTAACTTTTATTTGTGAGAATCACTTGTAATACACTTGTACACCGAGAGAAGTGTGAGGAGAGAGAGACGGGGTCAAATCCAATAGGAGTGGCGTCGATTGACGAACCTAGGGAGAGGTTGTAATCGAGCACTTGAGGAGGAGGACACGGGCTAGATTCCTACACTTAGTGTGTAAAGTGTGATTATTGAGTGACTGTGTAGTGTGAGAGTTTTCGGTGAACTTGTAAACCGAGTGTGTAGAAGTTCCGGCTTCCAAACCGGATTGTGATAGTGGATATCTCCTCGAGGTGAGGAGCGGGGACGTAGGTCGTGGGGACCGAACCTCGTAAACATATCGTGTGTTTGTGTTTTGCTTGTCTCACATTTTATTTGTGCATATTCTTATTAATCTTATTATTCTTATTGTTCTTATTGTTCATATCTATCTCTTGTAAGAACATATTGATCAACATAATTTTAATTGCTATCAATTGGGATTAGATTAGCATAAGACCCTAATCACCCCCCCCTCTAGGGTCTAACATACTTGATCTAGTAGTCAATCCCGCACGTAAATGCTATGAGGCTTGTGAGCCGTATACCTAGGATGCCTTGATTTGGTAGTTTGTCTCGCACGTTGATGCGATGAGACTAATGCGCCGTGTAAACTATTAGGATGCCGATTTGGTAGTCCGTCCCACATGATAATACAATGAAATATAAACTTTGTAAGAATTTACATTGTGATAATTATCTGATAGCCTTAGTCTTGGTGGATGCCATTATGAACATGACTCATCGATGAGTTAAATATGACCGATGTACTTTACTCTTGTGGGTACGCGAGATTATATAATGTTGTTCATATTATCTTCTAAGGGATAGTGAAAGATATTTTTGGTCCGATATTGTGATGAATTTACTTCCTTGTATTGCTTTCCTTTATTCCTAGTTTGGAATTGATAAAGCGATTCACAATTTGAGACATATGATATATACATGAGGCTTTTCTTATTTGGATTATTTCGCTCGACGTACTAGTTTCGTGTTGTGAGTTTCTAATTATTAATTTTATTTAGATTATTTATTCTTAGTTTAGTATTGATATTTAGTTATCTATAATTTGAGACATATGACATATACATGAGGGTTTTCTTGTTTGGATTATTTCGCTCGACGTACTATGTCTCGTGTTGTAGGTTTCTAAATTTTAATTTTATTTTTAGATACATTGTTTATGATCTAGGTAGACTATGCTTAATAGATAGAGTCTCCAACACATCTAGTAACCCTTCCCCTGGGGGCAGATGGAGATGATCTTACTATAGGGCTCTGACGCTCTTGTTGTTTTTCTTTTTATTTTTTCAATTCTTTTCTGGCAGCAACTCAGAGTTCTGGAGAGCCGCAGGATGATGGACTTTCAGCATAGTCGTCATCACATATTTTTAGTAGATGAGACTCCACCATAGTTGATATTTTCTTTTGAACAATTAGAGTTTTGCGTTTCATCTTGTAAAGGCTGTGTGCCTTAGTTTATTTCAGTTGACTCAGATTGAGATACTTCACATTTATTACAGACTTTAGTTGTATATAGTTTATTCAGTTGAGACATGATTATATTTATTAGATATCTCTTTCTACATCATGTCTAATGTATTTATTTCCCGTATTTTACTTGTTTTATACCTACACTTGTTGATTCCACTAGAGAGATATTACTGTGATGGTGAAATATGTTGTCGCACAGTATGAGTGCATAGCAAGTTTGATATCTTTGGGTTCACCTTAGACTGCAGCCATGTGTGAAAACAAGGGCGTTATAGTTGGTATCAGAGTTCTAGTTCCATCATTCTTAGGATCATCCTGTGTCGAGTCGTGAAGCTAGAATAGAGTTTCTTAGAATTCATGTATAGAGTCCATTAGGAATTCCTAGAATGAGTGAGGACGTATTATGTATATCTCGAAAATTTCAAAAAAAAATATGACAACTATTTTACTTTAATTATAAGGTACTTACATGAAAGATATGTGATACATATTTCTTATTGTTATGAGTTATATTTATGCCTTTTGCCTGAGGTCACATTATTATGTCTTATAATCTCTCTTCCTAAAATGTATAGATGGTCGTTTGGGGACGTGGATGGAGAGGATCCCGTACACAAAGAGTTAGCCAGGATGAGCCAGAACCTAAGTAGCAACAGGCTCCACGCGAGCAGCAGCAGGCTCCACCTGAGCCGCATCAGACTCCACAGTATATGATTGACCTCATGGGCCCTATAGCAGCTAGGCTAGTAGCGCACGAGGAGCGAGTGGCAAACTAGATCCTACCAGTAGTACCACCACCTATAGCGCCACCACCAGTGACTTCAGCTATACCTATCGCAGAGGAGTCCCCAAAGGGTATACCAGGAGTTACATTAGTTGTCGGTAGAGCCGTAGAGTAGGAGACTTGGCTCCGTCTAGTTGAGCGGTACCAGAAGATGAGGGCACCAAAATTCCAAGGATCATCAGACTCACTAGTAGACCACAAGTGGAAGGAAGACGTGGGGAATATTCTCGATCTACTTAACGTTAATTCAGTGCAGAAGTAGAGATTGGCAGCTTTCAGTCTTAAGGGTGATGCCGGAAGATGGTACAGGCTTCAATTCACCCCAGAACACCGGATGGTACTCACTTAGAAAGATTTTGTTTACTTTTTCGACGAGCAGTACATCTCTTCCATGGTAAGAGTCGGGAAAGAGCTAGAGCTATCTAGACTGGAGCAGGGAGACATGACTGTAGCTGACTATGAGAGCAGATTTATGAGTTTACTTCGCTTCATGGGCATATGGCAGACCGGAGAGCGCCAGGCTCAAATGTTTCTTATGGGGCTTCATCCAAGCCTTCGCCGTTACCTCATTTCCAGACGATTCCACTCAGTTCGAGAGGTAGCAGACGCCGTTATTTCATAAGAAACTAAGACTGTAATATTTCAGAAGACCAAGAAATGTAGTACTAAGACAGGACAATATGGTGACAAGGGCAATGGAAAGAGACCTTTTGCAGGATCTGGAGGACCCCAACAGTGGGATAAGGATTTTCATCATCAGCAACAAGGACCTTCTAAGAAGGGGTCATAACATGATTCTAGAATGCCACAGCAGCGCAAGATTCAAGGTGCA